GGGAGGGTTCGTCGAACTCGTTCTGCCAGGAAGCACTTCTCGCTTCCCCTCTGTTTTCCTCTTTCAGGCCATGAGACGTCAGTTTGCTCTCATCTACACTGCTCTCCCAAATCTAAAAACTGCAAGATGGCTGGATAAAAGTGAGAAGTGACTCCTTGTACCCAGAGCAGGCAACGGCTACACATGCTCGCCTCACCTCATCAGCAGCTTCGTGCCCGCCAAAAGTATAGTAGAACGGCGGAACCAGATGTTTCCAGAAACTATTTAGTAGCTTCAGTGACATTATCTTCCTTGGAGCAGCGCCGCTCACACAGACCAGACGAGGAACCAGGTGACGGTACCGAAACAATCAAGATCAAATCAACATGGAGGTACCCCAACCTGCAGCAAACGGCCGACCCGACGACCTGATGGCAAGGCTCGTCGCAATCACCATCCATGAGCTGACAGCATGCATCTCGTATTGGCGTGACTATGCCGCTTCCAAAGATGCGCAGATCCAGCAAATGCACAAAGACTGCCAACAATTGAAAGCACGCAACGCAGCACAGAGTCACACCATCAAGGCGCAGGCCGAGCGCATCAGGTGTCTGGAGTTCGAGGTGTCTCCTATGGAATTGTCCTGCAATACCTTGTCGCCGGCAGCGTTTTCAATGTCGCTCCAGGAGTCCAGACGCAAGATGTCAGGTTCTGCTGTGGACCTGCAGCCAAGCTTTGGTGACGGCACGTTCGATAATGCCTTGCAGGAGACATACTGTCACTCACCCGATGACGATGAATTGAGTTTGGATTGTGACGCCTTGGCTCCTTTGATGGCGTTGGCAACGACTGCGGTGGAGGGCGTAATCGAACAGCGTGCTGGAGCAGAAGAGGCGACGCAGAGCGAGGGCCTCAGCCCGGAGAAGAGGCGTCTGGAAGAGGCTGATGTTATTTCGAAGCGAGCTCGTCACGTTTGATGGAAGGTAATCAGATTAAAAAGCCTGCATACATCACATATATTGCTCATCCAAGCTACACTTCGGACCTGGTGATCTGCCAAAGGAAGCGAAAATAGTTTGCTGTTCCTTCTTTCATATCACAGTGCATAGTGAGGTTTACTACAGTACTAAACGCCACCATTTTCGCCGAGTAGTCTACGTCCCATCACGTGGACGATTTCGATGGAAGATATTTAACAATGCTTGAGAAATCGACAGCTGAATTCTCTGTGTGAATTTGTGTAGTCTCGCAGCAGCAGTCGGGACCCGCAATTATATCTCGTCACTGTCATCTTCCTGGCCCCTCCTGTTCCCAGACTTGAGACTACGAACATTATCCCAGTACTCCTTCACGAGGCTCAGGGCATTCTCTAGATTTTTCGCCGGCTCTGTAGTCACTTGCCACTCGATCTTGTAGTACACCAGGCCGTCAACCTCCTTTCGCCCAGCGACCTCTCCTGA